AAAGATAGTTGATAAATATAATTGACAAAATGTAAAGACTTGAGGAATGGTGTCATCTTCTTTAAGATATTTTTTAAAAAATGAATGTAAACTATTGACTTTTTTAAGAGAAATATTTGCAAATGAAAACGTTTTAATCAAATCCTTATGACCTCTTTTTTTGATTTAGATGCAATTTTAATAATAAAAAGTGTAACTTGTTTTTTAGATTGCTCTTTATTTTCATAAATTTGCTTGTTTTTAATATGAGCCTTCGAATTACAATGTCCATCAACAGTGGATTTTACTTTCCATTCAACGGAATTATTATAATTGCAAAACATAACTCCACTGTCTTCTCTAAAAACATCAAGACACTCACTTATATGAATAGCTATAGAAACTTTTTTATTTCAATTTGTTATTATTAAGAAAAAAATTTATATCTTTATTACAATTTATTAGTTTTGAAAAACCCTTTACCATTAATATTAAAAAAAAAAACCTTTATCGTGATTTTCTAACTATATTTGAATATTCTTAAAAATATTTTTAAGTAATATATAATTCTTAAGTAATATGCATGCGGCATAAATTCAACTCAATTGGTTAATAATCATGTGGTCATACCCAGCCCAGGATTCTGTGGTATTCTGCGATATTCTTCGATATTCTGTGGTGATTAAGGGTAATTTCTGTGGTTGGCTGTACTTAAGAGAAATTCTGCTGTTTTCTGTGAATCACAGAAAACCATCGGCCCTGTACGAAATTATTGCCGGTATTACGAATAGTAGTGTATCGGTATGGTTTAGGAAAGTATACATAGTGGACATAAAATTAGCATACGTACTCTTAATATATCAGTTATATATTAGTATACTTGTAAAGAATTTATTATATGTGGCCTCACGAAAATTCTACAGAAATTTATTTATTTACCGTTTAATAAAAATATAATAAAGAAAACTATACGAGACAGTGCCAAAAAGAATTTAGAAGTAACTACAGTCAAACCTCCATGTACGCACATCCTTGGGACCAACCATAAGTGTGCATTTATAGAGAGTAGTTTATAAGTGTTATTATTAGTCGGGACTGAGGTATAAGGTACAGTACGTACATATAAACAAGTCCCAGCGTTACCACCAATCGAGGATGCAGTCACATGGCATTCCCCGACCTTATAAGTCGAATCCAAAAAATTGGTTTCAATCCTTTATTTTTTGGGAATATTATTATTATTTTTTTTTTTAAAGGAAAAGCTTTTTTAATCGTTTTCTAAGAGACGAAACTACTATTATTAGGCCGGAATAAATAGCTAAGCATATTCTTAACAGCGGTACTAAAAATTAATCGCAACAATTTTTATGTAATTCAACTAAAATTGTTATAAAAACCAATTGCAATTCCACTTAATTTCAATTTTTACCTTCACTACAAATTTTGCGATAATGTAAATTTAAAGTAACTGAAAAATTGTTCATATTCAAATAGAGAATTATATTGCTATTATAGATGCAGATATTTGAAGACGTCTAAGTGAGTTGTGATGACGTAGGTCATAATAATTGACCTTTAGTTACGGCAATAAAAAATAGATGCGTCTAACAAGTTATTTACAACCGGTTTATAATTCCTGGAACACATAGCCGAGTCGATTAAGTGTGAGTTCGACATAATCAGTACATAGAAGATATTTTGCATTACATGTAATTCTTATTTTGAAACAATCTTATTAAATTTTTTTGATTAAAGTGCATGTTCAACATGTTTGATGTATTATTTGTACGAAAAACTCATGAGAAAACAGCACTTGTCAACCAATTAAACTTAGCAGAAATATAAAAAAAGCTTTGGATATAAATTAGACATTTATACATGTTACTCTATTGACAATCTTCAAAAATAAAGTTGATAGATATATTCAAATATCAGATAACCAGAGGCATTTTAATGTTAAATATACGGGTTCAAAAATTTAAAAAACTGATATAACCTAATGATATTATATACAGATGCCGATACGACTAGTATTAGTATATCCAATTGGAGCATAGCCCTCCAGATTTCATAATAATAATTTTACATTCTAACCAAAGTCCTGTATCTAATTGTAACTCATACGAATACCAGTCTGATTCTTTTTTCACTAAACTATCATTCTGATTTAGTAAATAACATCGCTTTTTTCAATATATTACATATTTGAAAAAGCTTAAGACACCTACTTACTTTTTGTTTGGCGATTTTTTATTTGCCAGCGAAGTTGCTTTTAAGGATAATATTTCTGTATCAAACACAGAGATATGCATACGTACTAGTCCTATGCCAAAATTGCCAACTTAATCGAATCAGTCGAAAAATCGCTCTGCAATTTTTTACCGAATGTTATAGCATAAATCAACTATAATGCAGTAATGGCATGAGCTACGTTACGGCACATGTCAGGCGTTATAGCAAATGTTAGTTATGACTTTTTGACGTATCGTCACGTCTTTGAGTTACGTCCAATTGACGTTATGAACAGTTACAGCACTAACATATGTCTGCATCTATAATTGCCATTAATTGTAACTGTATCTAAATGATTCATTAAATTTGTATAACCTTGTTTTGATTATCGGCTGTGATCCAGAAGAATATAAATTACACTGATATTTGCCATCGTTTGAAGGTCTAAAAAAGGAGAACGTAAATTACGTTGATGATTACCATCATTGGTCAAAAAAAAAAGAGCAGCCTTTTGATTATCGGCTGTGATCTGGAAGAACATAAGTTACACTGATGCCTGTCGTCATTAAAGGTCTAAAAAAGCATCTTTTTGATTATCTATGATCAGGAAGCACATAAATTACACAATCAATGTCTGCCATCATTTGAAGGTTTTAAAAAAGCATCTTTTTTGATTATCGACTATGATCCGGAAGAACATAAATTACGCCAATGCCTGCCGTCATTTGAAGTCTAAAAAAAAGCATCTTTTTAATTATTGACAATGATCTGGAAGAACATAAATTACACCAATGCCTGCCGTCATTTGAAGGTTTAAAAAAGCATCTTTTTGATTATCGACTATGTTCTGGAAGAACATAAATTACACTAATGTCTGCTGTCATTTGAAAGTCTAAAAGAACATCTATTTAACATTTGTCTAGAACGTTGACATTCATTAGAATATGCTATATACATGTTTTTGTAAAGGAATATTCTTGTAGTTTGCATAATTTGTAAATCTTGCAATTCAAAAAATGATTATTTGATTGCTTTTTTTTTTAAAAAAACTACAAGTTTTGATGTCAAATATCAGCAAATATACTCATGGTTCTACCACAAAATCCCGATATCCAAATTTCGACAGGCTATAATACTGACATCACATGAAGTGATAATGATTGTTAACGTTAATATGATTAATGATTACTAATCTTTAATATTAATTGTCACATCGGGATTACGGTTTCGATGTCAGGATATTGTGGTAGGACCTACTCATTCTATGTTTATTATTACATATTTTATCAAGTTGTTACATTTTTCAAACTGCAAAAATTACAATTAATTGACTGTGATTTCGTTACTAATCAATTAATTGGGTTCAAATAATTGCAGTTAATTGCCCTCACAATCAATTATTCTGTAGACCTGATTATAAAGAAAAACTTGATTAATAAATAATGATCTCGAACAGACTTGAATGAGCTGTAAACATGCATTAAATTGTTTAAATGATGTTGAATTATCAAGTACACAAAAGCTACATATTACAAACTCAATAATATAAATTAAAAATTTCCAAGTCTTTATCCAAAGAAGCCCTTTATAGTAAGCTTCAATCTAATTGGATTTATAAACATATCTGAGCTAGTATGTCCAATACAGCTCACCTTTGTTATAATGAACTTTTGATATAATAAAGAATTTTAAATTACGGAACTATAAAGTACATATAGTATTTTTGAGTCTAGCATATTCTTGCTATAAGTTGTTGTGGGAACTTCACTATAGCGTGAATATGTTTGAATTGCTTGTTTATCGTTTTCTCTTGTATTTCTATATATTATCCTCCTTTATTTTTTGTCGACATATGAATAACAAATGAATGTATAAAGTTAACTTCGTATAATGAACTAACAGTTCTTACAGTAAAAAGTTTTAAAAGTTCCTTATAGAAATAGTTTACTATTTTCCTGAACTCTAATAAATGTTTGGGAAATGAACTAGAAAAACCACTGTTTGGCACTTTCAACCGGTGCCTTTCCTAGCCAATTCACCATTTTTTAAAAAAAGTTCATTACTGTTATAGAGTTATAGAGAAGGAGGTCGGATTATCATGTGACTACGCCCTCGATTAGTGGTGACGCTGGATTTGTTAACCTGATTTATGAGGTTTAAAGCCCGAAATCTAGTTTTCTCTAACGTCACGCTTGCATAAATTTTTATATACATTTGCATACTATACCACAAAATCCCGACATCTAGAATCGAGTAATACGAATAGTAGTGGTGTATGGTTTGGTATGTTGGAGTATAATACGTTAAATTAGCCAACGCGAGTATGGTTGGTGAGGTCACAACTGAGTATAAAGTAATATATCGTGTATAATACTGACATCACGCAGTCAATTAAAATTTTAGGTCTTGTTAATGTATGGTTTCGAGGTTTTGCGTTTGGGCATGAAAAGAATTTTCGATAATTCTGTAATTTAATTCCGTGCTTGAAGTTAGCACGTGACTTCAGTTGCACCTAGATTTAAATGACATCGATATACGTTTATAAAATAATGTGCTAGCTTTAAGTAGCGGAATCTACACCGTACATCTAAGTGATCACGATCCAAAGATGTATATACTAACACCATGTACCGGTACGTAAGAATAAATAATGCACCAAAACCGGTAAATTTGATATTCGATTAACTTTAGCGTTAACGTTAGCATCTAAGTATATTCGATATATATAAATATATAAATATCTATATAGATATACTTTCTTTTATTTAATAAAAGAAATACCTTTCGAAATGGATTCATTTAAATTTAACGATGAGCAAATTAAAGTTATTAAAGCACTTAGTGGAACTTTAATAGCAGAATTGGATGATTTAGAAACAGAAGCTCTTTCAAAAACAAAAGCTATTGTAATAAAAAAACATTCCTCTAAAGTTATCGAATTTGCTAAATTTGATTTATCCAAAAATGAAAACTTTATAGAAATTTTAAGTGATAAACTTATAAAATGTTTTCAGAAGATAGATTAGTTAAATTTAATTTGATTCTTAACCTTCTTACGAAAAGTTCAACATCCTTATTATTAACAGGTTATTTCAAACCATTTTATGAACTTGATAGAAAACAATGTGAAGTTGTTTTACAAAATTGGTCTAAAAGTTTTAAATTTTATAGAAATATGTTTTTAATTTTATCTACTTTGATTAATGTTATTTATTGGTCCAAATTTGATAATTATTTTGAAACCATTGGATATCCTGGTCCTGATCCTGAAGCTAGTGGTGAAAAATTTACTTCAAAAATTAATTTATTTCCTACTTACGAGTTTATTCAAGTTCCACCCGAAGGATTAGTATTAAATTTTGATGTAGTGATTATCGGTTCTGGTGCAGGAGGTGGCGTAGTTTCTGCTTTGTTAGCAAAAGCTGGTTATAGCGTCCTTGTTGTGGAAAAAGGAAAATATTATCATCAAAATGATCTATCATTGAAACAAGATGAATCTCTTACTAATCTATATGAAAATGGTGGTATGTTATTTAATGAGGATAATAGCCTGGGAATTCATTCGTATGTAATTATATTTAAACAAACTCTAGATTTATAATATATATGTATATATCGTTGACCTTTATTTATTTCCAATTAATAGGGCTTCAACATTTGGTGGTGGTACTACTATCAATTATTGCGCTAGTTTAAGGGTTTGGCTTTATTATATACGTATATTAAATATGTATTTTCATATTTCATATTTAATTTTAATTTTATAAATCCTATTCTTTTTAGCCACAACATTTTATAAGAGAGGAGTGGGCTGCACAAGGATTAACTTATTTCCTTAGTGATGATTTTAATAAGTCAATTGAAGCTGTCGAAAAACGAATGGGTGTTTCTTCTGATGCAATTATTCATAATGAAAGTAATAAAATTCTTATAGAAGGATGTAAAAGACTTGGTTATCATTACAAAAACATACCTCAAAATACTGCTGGTTCTCATCATCAATGTGGTTGGTGTACATTTGGTTGTAAATATGGTGAAAAACAAGGTTGTTTGATGACATGGTTAAAAGATGCTAGAGACGCTGGTGCAAAATTTATTGACAATTGTTATGTTGAAAATGTTTTGCTTAAAAATAGAAAGGCTGTAGGTATAAAGGCTATTGTTAACGAAAATCGTATATTAGTTGTACATTCAAAAAAAGTTATTGTTTCTTGTGGCGCAATTCATAGTCCAGCTTTGTTGAAGAGAAGTGGTCTCAGGAATGCAAATCTTGGCAAGAATTTATATCTTCATCCGGCTACAATGGTGTCTGGTTTTTTTCCGGATAGGGAAATTATTTCTTATTCAGGGTCTATAATGACTTCAGTAAGTTATCATAATTCATATATTTTATTTTAATATAAACAAGGAGTAACAATTAGATCAAATAATAATAGGTATCTGAAGTTGTTGAAAATATAGATGGCGACCATTATGGATCAAAACTTGAAATTGCACCACTTCATCCTATTTATCTCGTTGCATTCTTACCCTGGAAATCGGCACTTAATCATAAACAACGAATGCTTCAAATCAATCATCTTGTCCCAATATTAATCGTTAGTCGTGACAAAGATCCTGGTAGAACTTCCATAGATTCATGTGGGAGACCTAGAATTCATTATTCAATCAGTAATCATGATTCAAAGAGTGTTGTCGAAGGGATGATTGCTGGAATTAATATTCTTGTGGCTGCGGGTGCCAAAACAGTTATAACTGGACAATTAGCTATTGAAGAATTTGAACCTGCTGAAAAAGATCCGTTTAATGATCCAAGATATAAACAATATATTGAGAAGATTAGAAAGATTGGTGTAGAGGATAGTGAATCAAGTATTGGAAGTGCACATCAAATGGGAACATGGTACAGTATAAAGTTTTTATTTACAAAATTTATATCGTTTATAGCTTTTACGGCTTTTACAGATTTTAAAAATTCTTTTCATTTATACTGTAAACTATAGCAAAATGGGTATTGATTCAAAAACATCTGTTGTTAATCCCAAAGGTAAAGTATGGGAAATAGATAATCTTTATGTTGCTGATGCAAGTGTATTACCAACTTCTACTGGCGTCAATCCTGCGGTAAAGTACTCACTTATTCAAACCCTTTATAACATAACAAGTTCTAACTTTTTTACAATGTTTTAGATTACCATCTGTAGTGTTGCATATTCAATTGCAAATTTCATCATTAAAGACGACATGCCTAAATCAAAAATTTAATAAGAAAATATTTTGGGATTTTAAATAAATTACTTATATCAATAAAATGGTAATATTTCGTTAAGCGACTTTATCGATTTATATATATTATACTTATATTTATTACTTCATTTATTCTTTCTTTATAATCAATAATAATCTAAATAATCTAAATACTCTAATACAGTAATATTTATTGAGATTACCACGGTATAACTTTAGCTTAATTTTGTCGCATCTCTAAAAATTTAACAAGAACTCTAAAAAAAAAAATGCAAATTTACTTATTGAAAAAAATTAAAAACTATAATCCTGAATATTATAAATCTCAAGATTATCAGAAATACCAAACTTAAATTTGATAATTTGCTTGTCAATTCTTGCGTATTGATTAATTTATTTGTGTACATGTGTGAAGGATGTTCGGTTTTGAATTGATCTTATAAGCTTCCACAAATTGGCGTTTGATTTTATTATCATCATCTTGCTCCATCTCATCAAGCTAATGAACAACTTTTGAATTAACTATAGTGGCTGTTGGTCGTTTCTTTGGATTTGAGTCCATGCACCTTTTAGTCAATTTGACGAAACATTCTGGTGTTTTTTCATCAAATCCTGGTCGTTAACCTTAACAAATTTTTACTAAAAGATCATTATCAAAAGATAAACCATCAAATGCTCTTTTTACAATCGCTATCTCTGTCATAATGATGCCAAAACTATATATATCAGATGCTTGTGTAAAACGTTTTCTTCGTAAAACCTCTGCAGCAATGTATGGCATACTCTACAAATTTGATTCTCTTGTTTTATATCGGCTGATGCAGAAAGACCTAAATCAGCAATATACGCACTACGTAAATCATCTTGTAAAACATTTCTACTATGAAGATCCCGATGAAGTAACTCTTCTGAGTGAATAGCGTCAAGGTCAGATACGATACAATTTAATAAATTTAACTTATCTTTCCACTTCATTCGTAATAATGCGACTATGTTTTGATGTAGAGACCCAATTTCCGCGTAATTTAAAATGATTATATAATCTTTTGTCTTCTCATCTCGTGATATTTCATAGCATTTTAAGAAAGAAGGATTATTTCACTGTATGTTTTTAACTACAACAAAGTAGAATAAATAAATAAATATATTGAATCAGGCTTTTATTGCCTTACTGGACCCAACCTATCAGTTTTTTAAGAATTGGGTTCAGTAAGTTACTGTGTAAATTTAAAGCTAAATGAAATTCAAAGTGAAGATTTTTTTTGGCTGCACTCATAAATACCTTATTTTAATTTGAACATTCGAGCTATGAATTATTTTTAACGCAACAGAAATCAAACAAGAATCATAAGTAGTTATTCTTGTCCATTTGACATAGTACATGGTAGCAAATTCACCTTTTCCAATTTCTTCAATAATTTCAAGTTCTGAATAAGGAATCCAAGATAATTGATATTTATTTGTTCTCAATATTTCTTTCAAATTTTCATGAATATCCAGAAATTCATATTTTGATTTACTTATCTTTGAATAATTGTCTCTTTCTCTTCTAAACCAATAATTAGCTTTTTGTAAATTCCTTCCTACTCCTATTCCGTTTCTATAACAATAGCCAACCATATGAAATCCATTAAAGTCTTCCAAATTCGCGGCTTTTTGAAAATAAATAAATGCCTTATGTTCATCCTTTCCAATTCCAATTCCTCTGTAACAATATCCAACATTATATATTCCTTTAGCGTCCACATCTCTCCTGACTTTTGATAATAAATAAATGCCTTATGTTCATCCTTCTTAATCCCAGTTCCATTTTGATAACATTCGCCATTGTTATTTATCAGCTGATTTTTGATAATAAATAAACGCCTTATGTTCATCTTTATTAACTCCAATTCCATTATCATAACAATAACCAAACTGCCAGGTTCCCAATACACTCTCCATCTCAGCAGATTTTTGAAAATAAATAAATGCCTTACGTTCATCGTTTTCAACTCCAATTCCATTATCATAACAATAACCAACATTATATGCTCCTAAAACGTCACTCATATCAGCAGATTTTGATAAAAAAATGCCTTATTCTCATCCTTTTCAACTCCAATTCATTTTTATAACAATGTCCAACATTGCTCATTCCTCCAACTCCACAATATCAAACATAATTTGTTCCTATAGAGTTACCCATTTCTGCAGATTTTTGATAAAAAAATGCCTTATGTTCATCCCGATATCACGTTGATAATTATATTCAAGATTAAGAAACTCGGATTTTATTTCGGTCATTTTTTAAAATATATAATAATTCTATTATATCTAATGTATTTTACTTTCTTATTATATTTTAGATATTTCTCCTGATAATTCTTTTATTACTCTTGCATTTTTTGGTTTGTATTAAAAAAATTTTAGTTTGTCTTGTATGAAAATCCGAAATTGCTCTTTTTTTATATACAAATCTATACGTTGAAAATATCGAGGTAGGAACGTCCCAAATAAGGAAATGATGATCCCAGCCAAAATTTATGGCTTAAGGGTAGAGGGTACTATATTGAAATTATATATAAACTCAATGGTAAAATTTTTTATATTTAATTTTATAAAAATTATATTAAGTAAACTCATATTAATTTATAAGAAAAGTTTGTAGAGCAGGTTTTTTTGATTTTAATGATAGTAAAATTATTAAATTTAATTAAAAACTCAGTAAGATATAACTTTTTAAAGATTAGGTATAAAAATTTATTAATTAAATTAACTTATAGGGTTATATAAATTAACCAATCAAATTTAGTATTCTTGTATTACTTAGAAAATTTTGAGTCATTCTAGAAAAACTTTGTAATATATATAATATATATTTTTTAAATATAATAATAGTTCAAAATTTTATCATAATAAATAAATTATTTTATTTATATTTTGTGAATTTTTTTTTTTTTTTGCTTTTGTTAAGGTTATTAGTTATTGGCAGCTATTGCCTTTATTGTGAATTCAATTATAATTACATAACTTGTATAAGATTACTCCTATACTATACTAGTAGATAGTATACAAGTTTTTATACACCTAATTAGATGCTATCTAACCTAACTCCGACCTTCTTATCTGTACATTCATTAAGCTGTTATACATTTCAGAGTACATCACCTAACTATACGGTTTCAGGAGGCCTTCTTGCTAACTAACTACCTATATTTAATTTTTGCTAATAGGGTTTGTCCTTGTAAATTTCATTTAGACCTTAATATCAACTTTACAGTATATCCTTAATACTTATAATATATTTTGTTTCTAACCTCAAACTTCCAATTCAGATAATCCAGTAGGACTATAACCTGTCTCTAATATCTCAGAATCTGCTTCCCAAGGTTCTTTTTCTCTAGTTTGAGACTTTTAGCAGCCTGGTTGGTAGTACCCTTTATCTGAGGTTCTTGTCTATCTAATTTCTTCCATATTGGTATCCATTTCCTAGATCTAGCCTTTATAGTAGTATTGTCAAAAATCCGTGTTACCTCTTTAGTCAGGTCTTCCCAAGTGGACTCTGGTTTTTCTAGTTTACAGATTTATATGACCATGAGGACTTATCTTAAGTTTGCATCACTTGATGCCAGCCTGTATTTCTTTGTATAATTTCAATATTATATAGATGCTTCATGACCTGCCAGTTATGCTAATGTGACTGTGTTACAGGTATCTGATCTCAACTAATCAATAGAATGCTATTGTCATAATACTGCTTATTTTCTGTAATACTAATATAACATGAGTGGTTTTTCAAATTTTTACTATTGGTAGGTTTTGAACTCTCAACCTATTACTTGAAGAGTTAACAACTTATCTATCTTACTAAGTTGTCACACCTTTTTTTGTGAAATTTTAATAAAAATTAATTGTAATTTAAAAAAGTTTTATAAGTAGTATATTTCAATTTTATATGAAAATTTCAAAATATTATCTATATATCCTCTATCTTTAAACAATTTAAATCAAGATTAATGATTTTTCTAAAGTATTTATTTATTTTTATTTTATTTTTTTTCTCTTAAGAGTCATACTAGTACTTTATTAAGATTTTGAAATTACATTTGCAATTACATAAATGTTCTTAACAACTAAGTCTAGCATCACCTGATTATCTTAATAGTATCTAAGTGCAACCTGGCATATTATTTTAAACAGAAATAAACTACTTGTCTAACTACTTAAAGTTTATAATGGAAGGGTCTTCTCTCTTACATGATAAGTTCTACAATTGTCTTTTGTATTACTATTCTGATTTGTTCTTCTTTTTTTTTTGTATTCTCTTTCTTTTCTTTTATTTTTTGCTGATTTGTCTTTTTTCTCTTATTTAATTTTGGCGTTTTTTTTTTCTCTTTCTCTTTTTAATCTACTTGTTATTCTTATTTTTCTCTTCTATTCACTGATCTTCTTATATTAGACTCTTTATATTTGTTTATAAAATGTATTTCAGACAGTATTTGCTATTATACTTGCAAACTGCTATCTTGACTTTACATTTAGGAGCTGCTGTAATTGGTTTTGTGTTTTTTTTAGAATTAGGCCTTTAATTAGAATCTTACTTATTTTTACTTTTTCTGCTTCTATTTTACTAAAAAGTACTGTATATAACATATATAAAAAGATTTTTTTAGACTTTTTCTTTTTTCTAAGTTTTTTTCAAGCTGTTGTAATGGTTACTTTTTGGATTCTTTTTTATAAATTTTTTTGTTCTTTGCATGCTGCTAAATGTATCTGTTTTTTTGACTTTATCTTTGCATACTTGGCATTCAGTTGTTGTATACACATCTGGTCTTTTTTTGTTAAGTTTTTCTAGTATCAGAAGTTTGTCTATCACATATTTTATAAATATACTTCTTCTAGCACTAATTCTTCTTGTTTTATAGTGCATCCCTTTTGTCATCTTTAGTCTTTTTCAAAAATATGTCTAATCATAAATTATAACTTCTGATTCTGATTTTAACTCTTTAATTGCTCTTGTTTTTCTTCATTCTGCTCCTAATCTTGCATTCATTATTAACTTATATAACAATCTTGCTAGGATATTAGTTTGTTTGTTTTTTCACTCTAAGCAGTACTCTATTTCTTTACAACTGACTTTTTTAGTCTGTATTATCTTTTTGATTGTTGCTTCTTTTTTTGTCAGACTATCAGCTTTGTTATTCTATTTATCTTTACTATAACTCTTTACTTTAACTAACTCTATCTGAATGTTTTTTATTGTAATAAGATCTTTGATCTTTATTATCCATATTGCATTCTTTTTTTTGAAAATCTTGTTTTTATCTGTCTGTTTTAAGCCTCTACTAATGTTTCTTATTGTCATATTGTTATCTGTATATATTTCTACTTGCTTTCTCTTTGATATTATTAATATTGCTATTCATATTATTACTAGTTCTGCTATCATTAATGTTTGCCAACTCTCTAGTCCTATTGCTATTTTTTCTTCTGGTCATTCTTGTGTTTTATTTGTTTGAACCCATTCTATACCTATTTTATTTTTAGTTACTGTATCTTCTTTGGTCTTTATGTTTACTGCATTGTCTGTATATATTATATACTTGTTCTTGTCTCTTGTTATATTTTTTCTCAAGACTTCTATTATTTCTTGGTTGATAATTTCATTTAACCTTTGCCATTTAATAATTTTTATTTCTAACTTCTCTATTGTTCTAATTTCTTTGAGTTCTTGTTCTTTAGCTTCTGGTCTTTTTATCTTTACTGTTTCTGTTATCTGATCTATTGCTATATTAATTCTATTACTGCCTTTTTTTATTAATACATCTGGAAATAAGTTAATTTTGCTATTTATTCTGATCTACTATTGGCAGCTATCTTCTGTTTGCTCTTCTGCTCTTGTACAGTTCTTGCATCTCTCTATTTTAACAGCTAATTCATCTTTCCTACTTTGCATTTGTCAGTGTTCTACTAGTATTTTCTTTTTCTTTTTTTTAATTATTTTTTTCAACTGCCTATAGTTTTGCATATTATAAACTATCCATTCTTTTCTTTTCTTGTTTTCTGATATACTTTTCTATTTAACTTGCATTGCCTGTGTATTTTGTCTGTTTGTCCTAAAGCATCTTTTAATCTCTTTACTTTCTGGCTTACTGAGCACTTTTTGTTCTATTATCTTGAACCAATTTGCTTTTTTTCTTTTACTTGAACAGTCTTGGTAATTTTTTAACTGTTGCCATATAACTAATCTTTTTTTTTTGTATCAAGCAGCTGGTTTAGATATACTAAATCTTTTTCATTTATTCTAGTTCCACTTTTCTTCTATAGATTAGTATCCACAAGCTCATTTATTTTGGTGTTATATCTAAACATTGTTCATAAATTGTCTTCTGTTCTTATGTTTATTTTTAATTTTCTTGCTTTTAATATTGTCAAACAAGCCAAATTATTTCTTCAACTATCTGTGTTTTTTAATATCTTCTCTACTTTTTATATGTTTTCTGTTAGGCCTGCCCTTTGGCAACCTTGTATTATTTTTAGTTTTGTTAGCTGCCCAAGTTCATCTCACCTGTTTAATCTTGTTATTAGTCCATCTATTTGTTTTATTACTATCTCTTGTTATAATATTCTACAGCTTCTAAGGTCTTTGTATTTTATTATACAGTTTTTTAACATTCTTTGCAAATTACTTTTTTGTTTTGCCAGACTTATTATTGGTTAATGTATTTTATTTAAGTTTCTTTCTAATATCTTTGTTAGTTGTAATATATAACTTAATTTTGGTATTATAATCATATTGTTTATATATGTAATTTGGCTTATTATTATTTTTTTGTATCTAAAATCACTTATTGTTTGACTTATTATTCTTTGGGTTTTATAATTTGATGCATCTGCACTGCAATGCATCCCTTTCATGTGACTATAATATATCATATATTAATATATGTTCTAATCAAATTATAGCTTTATTTTAAAACAGATGGATATTAACTATTTTAACAATAAACTAAGCAATCGCATTGAAATTGAAAATAGTACTGTATTTAAAGCAGCAAAAAAATTTTGCAGATTATGTGACTTATGTTCACAGGATTTTTCAATATGCATACTGATTCGATATTAATATATCACATTATAGTTAATTAAAGTTTCTGGTACAAGTTCAATATTATCTTTGACGTTATTTATATTTCAAGAATGCGAGTAATCCGTTATCCTTTGCTTCACAAAGGATAGTATATGCTTTCACTACGGCTGTCACCTCCGTTACAGCATTTTTTTATACTAAAATCTCAATAAATGAACGACTCATAGTTGCCTCGCCCTAACCCTAAATTTAAACAAAGGACTTGAACTAACAATTAGAAAATGTAAATTACAATATAAATTACATTGTCACGTTAGTTATAACTATACTGTCACTGAAACAAAAATGCATTCATAAAGATGTTAAAACAATTATTCTTTATGCTATTACTAGTTACAATATAAACCTCAACTAGAATAGCATAAAAAGCAATAGTTCTGTCACCTCTCTAGTTAGTCAAGTAAACTGCAATCAAATATAAATGATACATAATTAGCTATAATACTAATAGTTAATGCTAAATACAGAAATAACGCATACTAAATCACTATTAGTTATTCTAATCCTTTTTATCAGTAACCCTTTTAGAACACGTAGCGATGTTATGTCCTAATTCTTTACAGTAACTGCAAAGATTTAGACCACGATCACGCTTTCTTTTACCTTTATGTACTAACTGTTGGTTTGTATTATTTTTATTGTAACTAGCTGATTTTGGTCTGCCTTTGGTATTAACAACTAATGGATTTTTAAGTTGAACAGTTAGGCATGTATTCTCTTCATCAGAATCATCACTTACATCTGCTTGATGTATTTTAGCAAGTTCCTCTTCACGTTTATGCACATCATCCAAATAATTTTCAATCAACTGAATAAACCCATGATCACGATGTAACAGGCATTTATTGGTTGCAGTACGTATTAAGCCCCACACTTTCCTGTAAAATAGTTGTTCTTTTACTAAATCATCATTTATATCTTCTTTACTATTCATACTACTAAATTGCTAAGGCAATTCGAAAAACTCATCACTATAAGTTATTTGATTATCGACCACAAACCGTTGTCCATAATAGTCTCGCTCATTTAGTGCATTATTAAGATATTTTCTTGAAATCCATCGAATGTTAATTAATTTCATACTGAAGCGTGCTACTCTCGTAACATTTAAAAGATGAAAATAATGCCTGCACACGAGCCCTAATTTTTGTCGCAGTAAGCAGGTGCAACTATACGATCCATCAAAAAGGCAAAAAATCATATGATTGATATTGCGTCCAATAATCTGAGAAATTTTCCAAACTTCTTCAATATTAGCTTTATCCAATTGATTTAAAAGAAATTGTGCACACACAAGAACACTATCTGGCTCATCTTCAAAACTTTCGCTTTCAGATGGCTCATCTGCTAGTGTATTCTCAACTTCTTCAATGCTAGAATGGTATGCAGTATAATAAACACATTTCTTCATTTGGTTGATTATATGTTGTGCAACATTTTGGCACAGGTAACATGAAACAATTGCCTCTATTAGAGGAAAAATTGTTATGTATTTTGTAGTCAAAGGAACGTCTCTTACTAAATTTTTGTATTTTTTCTGGTTTATCCTATTTTCAGCTTGGTCTATAAGAATTTTACCAAGCTCACAAAGAGACGTATTACTACTCTCAAGAACACGCTTAATACATGCGTTTTGACTCTCTACGAAGGAAGTAGACTCAATCCCAAGAGTGAACAATGTTGCTGTGAATCCTCGTGCCCAAGACTTACGTCTTTCATATAAGTACCTTTCAAGATATTGCTTCACCAATGGATACTTACTAATCATTTCATTCCAATAATAATCAAAACTTTCAGGTGTATCACTATTTCGACACTTCCAGAATGCAGAGTAAAAATCATCAAATTCCGCACCCAATTTTCCACGGAGCATCTTTTTAAGATTCTCTTTAATGTGCCATATACAAAAAAGGTGCCGAGTAGTTGAACATTCAATCAAAACAGCACGTTCCATAGCAGGGTCACCATCAGTGATAATTACACCGGGCATTTTTTCTCTTGTTGCTTTCTTTAACATACGTAGTGTCCATTGATATGATTCAGTAGTCTCATCGCTTAGAAGGGCTTGTGCGACTATTTGAGACTTCATATTGTCATCACGAGCTACGAAGAGAGACAATGGCATACAGTAACAATTTGTTCCTGATGTGTTATCATGACCTATAGATTCACTAAACTTATGCCATAAAATTATTTGGTCTGGGCTCATCCAAAATATGCCAGTAAGTGTACTTGTTTCAACTTCTCATGTTACTTCTACAAACCAACAAGGATCTTGGCATTGTTTGGTGAGTAATTCTTCATAGAATCTTGCTGCATCGCCCTGATTAAATTGCGCTGTTGGTTTGTATTTTTGAATTTCCTTGTATAGATTCTTGGAAAAGACTGGGTGGAAAGAATACTTCTGCTTAAGGATCCGCCGAATTAATGTTGCACCAAAATGACACTGCCTAACATAAAATTCAACATCATCTCTCATCTCTTTTGTAAACACCTTATCCCTTTCGAACTGAAGTGCTTCTGGACACATTTCGTGATTATATTCATCATTCAGTGTTGTTATGTAGACATAATTATTTAAATTTTGCTTTGATGGTTGCGAAAGATTAACATGCCATGGACATTCTAATTTAATCGATTTTCCTGATTTTGTAGAGTTTTTTGATTGATATCGACCTGAATAGTGACAAAGAATCGTTCTTTTTCGCATAATTTTCCCATTTTCTGTTTTAATCATAGTACTCCAGCCCAACTTTGTCTTGAATTCTTTGAACTCAGCATAACCTCTTATTTGTTGTTCTGCATCGTCAAAATTGAAAAATGATTTCTCTTCTTTTAATGTAATCACTTCAGCATCCATATTTACATCCTCCACGTCTACAATATCTATACTACCACGATACGCTTCTTCATAATAATCTACTACATTAATTTTACTATCATCTATGCCATTATATTTGTTAGTTTCACTATCATCTGCAGCATTACTTGTGTTGATTTCATTGGTTTTACTATTCTTTATGGTGTTACTTGCATCGATTTCATTATTTGCTACCATATTATTTTCGTTCTAATTGTTGTTCACGATTTCTTCTATACTAACGTGTTTCTTTATTTGTTTATAGTTTTGAGAAAAGAAAACTGAATCTGTGGTGGTGTTATTGGTATTTACAGTATCACTTGCGTTAATTTCAATTTGATAATTTATACTATAGTTTGCTCTTGTAATGGGTTCTATTTTATTTGAAAAAGAGAAACATCATAATAAAAATCACTTTATTTATTTTATATATACAGTATGTGTATGTTATAGATCACTAATGTAATCATTGATTTAATTTTTATTACTGTTTATCACTTTATAATACTGATTCACTGAGTGCACTATGCATCAAATTATAAAACCCTTATTTTTTTTACCTTTTTCTTAATCAGAGTTTTATATATTCTGTTGTTTAGCCATACTTTTAATAATCAAACTATCTTATTTCTTGGTTTTTCTGTTATTTTGCTTTTTCCAAATATTATTTCTTTTTTTTCTTTTTTTAATTTGGTGTTTATTATTAGCAGCTTTGATTTTACTTTATTTATTTCTATATCATTTATCATAAAGAACTCTTCTGTTATTTCTAAGATCTTTACTAACTGCTATCTACTGTTTGTAATACATGTTGTATTATTTGCATATGCAATTGTTGTTTAATGATATCTTGTAATATTGTTGCATTGTATATTTTTCTTTATTTGTTGCTCTACTTTATAGTTTAAATTTTCATCTTTTTGTACTCTTTCTAGTAATGAATTATAAAAAAGTCACCATATTAATAGTAATATTACTTCATCTTAATCTATACTATCTTCTGCTGTTATTTCTTCTATTAGATCATATTCTGTAAAAATTCTTAGTTGTCTTCTATAAAACAGGCTTAAGATATATTTCACTATTCTTTTAGATATTTTAACTCTTTGCAATGCTAATTCAAAACTTTCAAGTGGAACTGAGTCAAATGCCTTTTTTATATCTTGCAAAAATATTTATACTTTTTTGTTCTTTTTTCTTATTTATTCCATTATTATGTATAGGATATGTACTGGTTGTTCTGTTGAATTACCTAAAAGGCCTATGTAATTTGGTCCTCTGAGCATTTTTCTTTTTATAAATATTCTGGCTAGCCTTTTTGTTACCACTTTTGTTACAACTTTTCTAAATGTTTCTATGAGTGCTAATGGTCAAATATTGTTTAAGCTATATTCTTATTCGACATCTTTTGGTATTGGATAGACTTGTGCTATTTTCTATTTAATTGGTATCTTTTCTACTTCTAAGCAAAGATTTGCAAAACTTCTAAATACTTCTTGTGTTTTTCTTTCTGCTTACTTTATCAAAATATAGCTTATTTCAGCATAGCAGACATTTTATTCTGATTGACTAGATGATCAGAATGTAATACAGATAATCTTTACATATTAGATTAACCTTTAAACAAACTTTAAACTAATTGTTTGCTATGAAATCGAATTGTTAACTGTTGTAACCAAAAAAATTCAGTAGTATATTTTTCATTTTATATAGTATTAAAATAATTTAAAAAACAAAAAGATAATTTAGAAGTTAGCTAAAAGATGTTTATTTGAAAAATGGCTGCACAAGATTCTTATCACTTAGATCTAGTTCTTTCTAATGAAAAAAAAAGAAAGAGAAAAAACTAGCACTATGATTTAAAAAATCAGAAAGGTGTTATCTGTGATAATAAACAGTATAGTGCTTCTCTTATATCTGATAAGTAATAATACTAAGTTCAAGTCAACATCTGAACTTGGTCAGCAAAGCCTTGTACTAGAAATATTATAACAAATTAATTTTTTTTTTTTTATTTTTTTTTTTATTTTTTTTTTTTTATAGTTAAAGTCCCTATCTTGGGAGTTACGATGTTTTTATTCAAATATATTAGGACACGGCATGCCACCAAGGGCTCACTTTACATTGAAGGTTACAACTAGCCACACGTGCACTTTTGGTGCCTAATTTAAGTAGTTAGCTTACACATTACTATATAAGTTCTATACTAGTTGCCATACCTGCAAGCCAACTAGGGGTCTTGCCTATTTAAACCC